CAAGCTGTAAACCTTTCCCATGGCACAATTGCAACACATTCATCCAAGCTGCTACAAACTCAGGTCTCATATTTCACTTCAGAGCCTGTTCTATAGTATGCAAATGAAGGAGGTCTAGCTACATGTTTTTAAGCAAGTTTTCAATGAACATTGTTTATTCCATTCAAACTTTTACTACTAGAGCTAAATTTTCAACTTTGTGGTAAGATTTGGAATTTTTATGAGAGTAACATAGTTTGTAATGCTAGAATGTATTGTTATGTGGTGTTGTTTTTGTATTTTTACTGGAAAAAGATGATTTTGAAAAAGACTTAGGCTTCAATCTGAAAATTGATATGAGGGCGCTGGTTTGTTACATGAGGGCGCTGCGCCCTTGTTCCCCTGTTCAGAAAAACCCCTGGTTTGTTTGTTTGTTTATTTGTTTTAGGAGCTGCAGGCGTTCTCCATCCTGCAGCACGTGAAAAAGGAGTACCGCTGTGGTGACTGCAGCTTCTGCATCGACTATGACCTGATGGTGCAGGTTCTGCGGCACCACTTCAACTGTACATCTGCCAAATACGTCAACATCCTCAGTCAAGGTCATTGTAATAATACTCTTCCTAAGAAAACACAATAGATTAGCTTGTTAGAATCATACTTTAGTATTAGTTTGTGTATGTACCATTGTTGTTTCTTTGCCATACATTGTACCAGCTACGGTTGTTGAGCAATAAAGTTGATTGATTGATTGATTGTTGAAAGTTTATTGCAAGTTTTTGCCTGTAGGCTAGTTGCAAGTACATGTAACATGAGAGTAAAGGATGGAAAATGGAAAACAATGTAGTATGTGACTACTCAAACTACTAAGCACTAAATTGTTCTAACACTTATCTTTGACATATACTGTAAATCTTGAAATATTCGCAGTGGTTTTATTTCTGCATTTTTGCTGTGCTTTACCACTGAAAATTAATGATACTGTGAATATGCTTTGTCACTCCCAAAACCACCTTCCTATTCCTAGTGTAAAATAAGATGCTTGGAAAAATAAATGAATTTACAGTATTGTCATTATAGCTTAATGCTCTGTCCTAAGACTGTAATAGCTGGGATTTGAACTGTTTATCTTTTGGTCCAGAGGCAGGGTTAGCGTTACTACTACTACTTGTGCAATCACTGTGCTATGTTAGGAGCAACCCAATCAAGGAAAACTTATGAACATTGACATGTACTGACATCATTACTTTCTTTGTTCTCCAGGCATCACACAGCATCACGGACACAGTTACGGAGATGCCGTGGCAAACCAGCCAGCTGCAGCCCAGAGCGAAGCGAAAATTCCCGACGCCCACGAGAGGGAACAGACCGTGACCATCCACCACCATCCCGCATCCACCATACAGAAAAGCCCCTCCAGACCCTCGTCTCTAAACGCTGCCGGCAGTTTGGCTGGAAGCGACGCGAGCTTCACCCACCCAGTGATGCTGTCAGCTGAAGACCACGCCACAAGTCAGGTTCAGCAAGCTTCCAGCGCAGCCAACAGACAGACTCTGATACAGGAGAGTCCTGGTGAGAGACAGGAGCCTTCTGTACAGCCCCACGCAGGAGCGATGCCACACCACACCCAGTCACCCCCGTCTCCCAACCCCGGACAGAGAAGGCTGTCGGCCAGTACCATGCTCCAGTGGAAGGCAGTGTCCTCGCCGGACACGCTGAAGTGGGGAGGGGGGCTGTACGTGAAGCAGGAGCCGTCAGAACTCAGCGGAGTGATGTCTGTCTCAGGGGACCACATGCACACTCCACACTCACAACAAAGGTGCTTGTCTGTAGCTAGGTTAATCTCCAAGCAGATTCCTTTCGGTGGCAAAGAGACAGTATCAAATTGACCAGGCAGTATCCATTTGGAATTCGCGACAAAAAAAGGCCATATATAAAAAGCTAATAATCATTCCCCCACAACCTCTGCTTCGAGAGTAGCTAGGTTACATGTAGACTTGAGAAAAGAAAGGGGAAGGGTGGAAGAAATTTTTCTCCAGGTTGACAGATTTCTATAATTATATAAGCTATGTACATTTGTATAGCTGGACAAAACTTCCATCAAAAAATATATCTGTTCCTTTATCTCTACTATAACTAAAAAGCGAGAAGTTGAACTTATCTAATGATAGTTTTATTTTGTATCTGTTCATCATGTTTTGTTGTGACCAGTGTACTTAGCCAAGTGTGCAATAAAGTGCAATAAATGTTGTCATTCATTCTTTCAATCATTGCCCAGGTCGTACCGGGTGATGTCGCAGGAGTCTGTGAGTAGCCAGTCATCCCAGTCCTCCTCCGTACAGCCCCGGCTGACAGTGAACAGTGGAGGGGTGGGGCCTCCCACAGCACACACAGCTGAGGAGGAGGGAACATCGGATAGTCTGGAGGAAGGTAAGGCTGTCATACCATGGCTTCCCAGCCTTCTGAAGTCCATTGTTGGGAGTTCCTATTACACATACCCGACCATAGTTGGGACACACATAGCCAACCATGGCATACCAACCATCTCCAGACCATAGCTATTAGAATTTGAGCCCATCACAAATAGTCGACCATGGCTGGGAGTTAAGCTCCTGTCACACATACCCGACCATGGCTTCCCAACCTTCTCCCAACAATGGTTGGAGTTGAGTTGTAAACACATAGACAACCATGGCCTCTCAGTATTTTCCAGGTTTTTATATCTGATGTTTCGGTGACCATCTGACTTCCTCTTCACCTATACTTAGATGCAGTATGAATCAGAACCAGTGATTGTTACCGTAAAAAGAAGATGGCAGACTTAGGGAGTTGCAGGCGAATCGTAGCAATTTTTCAATTGCAAAAATAGCTTGTGTCCCTATCACAATATCAGTTAAACCATGCAAAGTTGTTTCATTTAACATTGTACAGATCACCCATGTTTCTCTAGACACACCACAGGTGATAAACTCTCCTGCGTACATCGAAGATGATGATGACGACGACGTAGTGGATGTACCGGAGGCCGGGTCTCCTGCGATCCTGCAACATCCGCTGTACCCGCAGCTCGTACGTCACCAGCCCATGGTCATCACCACGGACGTCTCGGCCGGCAGCTATCATCACGTACCTAATCAGAGACTGACCAACCCCTACCCCGCTAAGAAAACGATTCAGATGAACCACTGGGCCATGAGAACTCTGTGCTCCTGGGCAGCAGAGAAGGCAAAACAACTTCAGGAACAAGGTTAGTTAGTTAGTTACTTTGTTTGTCATGTCCCCAACCAGAGACTGACCAACCCGTACCCGGCTAAGAAAACAATTCAGATGAACCACTGGGCCATGAGAACTCTGTGCTCCTGGGCAGCAGAGAAGGCAAAACAGCTACAGGAACAAGGTTGGTTACTTAGTTAATAAGTTAGTTAATAAGTTAGTGTATTTTTGTCGTCTGTCAAGTCTCTTTCGTCTTCTGAGTATTTGAGGAGAGGAGGAAATAGACTGTGGCCATGAGAACACTGTGTTCCTGGGCAGCAGAGAAGGTAAAACAACTTCAGGAACAAGTTGTGTTTTTTTTTTCATTGACGTATATTTATTGAGTACATGTATTAGACAAGAAGCACAGTTGCTTATATGACGCCTTGTACTCAAAATCATATTTGAATTCACTACAAAAAGGGACAATTTGAAAAGAAAATTTGTTCTCCCTTACATTAGCAACATAGACTTGACCAAGAATGAGTTACCTGTTAACAGTAAGTTAAAAGAAACATTTGTAAGCAATAAAGATATTGTACCTCCACATGGTCTAGCCTAACAATGCAGTATATATATATACATATTGTCATTATGAGTATGGTCATTGACATATTTGTTTTAGAATGGAAGAAGCAACCAACCTAAAACAATGTTCCCCTTCTGCAAAGGTAAACATTAAACATTATCACTGTTTCATTGCCAGGAGCGCATGGGAGTTTCCAGGCCCTGCCGAAGGAGTGGAGTTCTGCCAGTCCTGAGGAGCTGAACTACTGGCTCTGTCAGTTCGTGGTGGAAACTAGACGGAAGGACGGACAGCATTTCCCACCAAAAACTATCTACCACATCATGCAGGTATAGACCCATTGATATGCACCTCAATAAGGCCATGCTGATTTAATTACTGTGGATGACATCCTCTGGGAACCCCAAAACTGATGTGAGCGTGGGAATAAAAAAAAGTTTTGCAAAAAAAGAAAGTTGCTTTAATTATAAAATCTACATGGTCGTGAAGGTTGAACAAATGACACAGAGTATGATACATGTATGTCAAATAATCTACTCTTCAAACTCATTTCTTTACATTTTCGTCTTTTTCGTTTGATTTTGGCATTCAATGACATTGGTATCGTTTTCAAATATTTTTGCTCTGTCCTGTATTTGTTTCTATGTGTGGGACACAACACCAGCAACAGCTGCCTGTGTCCCATGTGTATTGTATTGCTACAATTGCAATAAATCGAATCACTCCCTATGATTTTTACTCGTTCAGAGCATCAGTCGATACCTGACGGAGGAGTGTGGTCGGACCGACACCCACCTACTGGCCAGGCACAACGCAACCTACCGTCAACTCCAGGACACGCTGTACGCGGAGATGAAGAGACTGGAAGACCTGGGCCTGGGGAGCGTGAACGCCGGCAAACACATGAAAGAGGGAACAAACCTCACGTTCTCCGACGAAGAGGAAGCCTACTTCTGGAACACGAAAGTGTTCGATCTCGACTGCGACAAGGGGTTGATAACGGCCGTGTTTTACTACAACTGCAAACTGCTCGGGCTACGCAGTATACAGGACCACCGGAGCTTACACTTGAAACAGTTCGTTTTCGGTTTAAACGCCGACGGCACTTGTCAGTACATGGATATCGTACACCCCACTGGGAGGCAGCGGCTGATAGCGGATCCAACCAATGCGCGGTGTCTGGTCAAACTGTACCACAGCTATGTCGGACATCTCCCCGTCTCGTCCGGGCCGTTTTACCGTCGCCCGCTGAAAGACGTCAAGAACATCTCGTTTAGTATTCAGCCTGTGGGAGTGAACCAGTTGTCAAACTACATGTGCAGGTTACGGCAGCTTGCGGCCAAGCTTCTGGCGCAGAAGCACAACATGCAAGCAGCAGGGAGTGCCGCAATCGTCTCACAATAAATGAATAAATCCACCCCACCTTTTTTTATTTCATTCCAGTTTACATTATTGTATAAAGAAAGTCTTGTATTGGTTAATGTCCACTTACGTAATTTCAATGTCACACATAGCCTGGTTACCAAACCTATCATATTCATAACTCCGGAGTCAGGGAGATGGCCTCCATAGCATGCCAAAAAACTGGGGGTTTGAGGGTCTTCAGGGTCTTTGGGAGCTTTTATGTGCTATTTTCTGATTGCATATAGACAACATAGCCGGCCTGGTTGAGTTACCCCCGAACTGGGCTAATCTGAAAACAGCCCAAGACCACCAAACCCCGAGTTCTATAAGCCTGCTACGGAGGCTGAGATCCATCCCCTTTCTTTCATTCCATTCCAGTTTACATTATTGTATAAAGAAAGTCTTGTATTGGTTAACATCCACTAACATAATTCCAGTGTCACACATATTCACCCATAGCCTGGTTACCAAACCTATTATAGCTCCCGAGTCCTACATCCTACATCGCAAATATCTATTTGCGGAGAGGATGTAGGACTCAGGTAGCCTCTACCAGGTTTGGGGAGGCGGCTGGAAAGAGTAGAAATTGGCCTAATAGAGAGATAAGCATGCCAAGGGAGTTTCTCCGTTGAGAGAACATTTTGCGGCTTCTACTCTTTCCAGCCGCCTCCCCAAGCCTGGTAGAGGCTATGACTCAGGAGCTATGATAGGTTTGGTAACCAGGCTTATTCACTCAACCCTGAAAAAAGGCATACAAAGAGATCTCTAATACAACCTCCCTCAGTACAATGCACTCCAGTACATGTATATTTAACTGCATATCTGGGGGTGCTGCACTAGAGATCTCTGAAACACTGTTTATGAAAGTGGCAGATATATGTAACCAGACAGGTGAATGTTGATGGAGGTTAACAGTATTATTACATGTAATATACATGTATTTATATCATACCCGGGCCACGATAACGTTCGATAACGGGTTCCGGACCGGGCCGTACTTTACGTTTCGCCCTAACCGCGTGCGCCCCTTTTGAAAATTCGAATACAGAATCCGAACGTTGGAATTGATGTTGTTACATTTTAGGGTTCAGTGGCACCAACTTTTGGCTCATCTTGCATTGAAAGGCGTGTTTTCTTGGGTGGGTATGACATAAATAAAATACAACACGGTGTATTCCGCATCGCCCTCGGTCCCAGCCCTCCCGCGGTCGGGCCGATACCTCGGGCGATACGGAATACCCCGTGTTGTATTCTATATGTACATAGATTGTAACAAGTAAGTGTGATAGGGTCCAGGGCAGTTAATTTTGTGTTTCCTATTACAATCTTGAATTATTTTTTCATAGGACTAACAAAAAGAGTTTGCCTACTAGTAGGCCTTTATCCATTCCTTCCCTATGTACTGATTTATTGTAATTTTCCTACAAATGACCCTGAAGATACGAGTATCACAGTATGCCATGTAGACATTGTGGAAATTTGATATGCCAACCTCCAAGAAAATGTGCTGTCATCATGAAAATGATGGTTGCAAATGTACATGTATTTATTATTACCTATTATAATAAGATTTCAACTAAAACTGGTGGCATTACTAGGTAGTTGAAGAGATATTTATTAAGTATGGATGAAAATTTTCCTACCCAACCAATCAGGGTTTTATACCTTTACTTCAAATTAATGTAGCAAAATATGTACATAGTACTTGATGAACCCACCTGAAGTATTAATAGATAAAAACTTATAGATGTACATAATGTCATTGAGCTGGAAAATGTGAACACAGTTCTGTTTTTGTTACATTGGATCTCCACCATTTTACAGTGGAAACATTTACAGAATCAAAACATCATCTCTGATTGAAATATTCAGTGTAAGTTTGAGATGTGAAAGTACCAAACGCTCCTACCTAGACTGTAGTTTTAAGCCATATTAATAACAGTTACTCAAGCAACTGGATATGATTTTGAAAACATCCAGTTGCTTGAGTAATTGTTTTGGGCGTATCTTATTACCTGGATGTCTAACCTTCACCGAAGTAGTGTAGTTTTAACTTGTAGAAATTTAGATAGTTTTCGGTATTTTGTTGTAAACATTGTACACCTCTTGTACCTGACTACTAGAGGAAAATTCCATAACAAACAAACAAACAATACTCCAAAATAGATACTTCAGGAAGAGGTCACTAATAGTATGTAAAGTAAACTTTTAAAGTAATTTTTATTACTTACCTTGTACAGCGACTATAGGTACCTTTACTTCCATCCATACAGGTAACATTATATGGTAGCAAATTCAGGGCTTTATAACAATGCAAATCAGTCCACTAGACTTAAAATCTTTGCCAGGGAAGTTTAAATGTTTCCTAGATCTTTTTCCCGAACAGTAAGTCTGTTCAAATATTACCTCAAAACTGTAAAACTGAGTCAGACTGTGACTGTATTTCATGATCATGTTAGTTTTGTCCCAGTGAGCAACTTTGCACCATTTGTGATCAGGCCTATCGGAAAATGTATAAAATTTCACTCCAAACAGAAAGTCTACAAATCTTGCAGAAGCTCAGCAGTCAACTCTCATAACCCACATTTTGGAAAAAATTAAGATCGCAGTGTTTGAAAGAAAGTTCCAATTTAGGCCAAGTTTGTACTTGTAGTCTACATTATCTTGTGACAAACAGTTTTTGAGAACTTGGTTGTCATATTGTCAGAAGAATCTGTACAGACGTGCCATTTTGCACATGCACATTGCCAACAGGATTCCAGTACTCATATTGTGTGTACAAATGAATACAGCTTGGAGGTGGTCGGTCTGTATATTATGTATACAAATGTATGCATTTTTGCTAGATATAGTCACAGTTTTGTAGTGAGAAAGTAGTGCAAAAGTTTGTTTCTTGTACTGTAAAAATGTTATGATGTACTGTAACACTAATAATATCTAGCAAGTTAGCTAATCTCCAAGCAGATGTTGTGTTCATACTATACTAACACCTTTCTATCAGTTTTAATTCAAATTTTCCAGTGTCACTTCATTTGTAAATATTAAGAAATGGAGACACCAGCAAAATCTTCCAACTAAATCCACAACATCTGCTTGGAGATAATTTATTGTAACATAATAAGACTGTCAGGGTTTCATGTTACATCTTTTCTGAAGACCTGTTACAAGTTTTTACGGCTCTGCTCATGAGGCGTTGCCAAAAATACTGCCATGTTTGAAGGCACAACAGATGTGCTTTTGACAAATATTTATAACCAAACACACAACAAAAAGTTAGCTACTCTGGAAAGCTTTCGGGTGTGTTTTAACTTAATGTAGAACAGCAACTATGACCGCTGGTTACCTCAAAACAAATTTAGTAATTAAGAAATATCTTGGAGCTGTTCATACAGTTTGTATGACTGTATGTTTGGGCACTAAAACAAACAATATTGGTCTCAGGTTATAGCAAAACACAAAAGGAGCTTGGCACTCAAATGAGGTCATTTTTCAGCTCAATGCCTCTAATTGAACTGAAAGTTGTTATTTGTATGAATCAAAATGAAAACTAAAAGGAACTGCACAGTCTTGTCTTCATAGTGAATTATGATATTCTTTTCTAAAAAGGATAAGTTAGCATTTAGAAATATATTTTCCAACGGTTCCTATAGCACATACTGTTTTGTTATTAAGTTCACAGAAAGAAATTTTATGTATGGCAACGTCAGCAGACTTCAAATCTGATGCAAGAGTACAAAAAAATTTCTAAAATAAACCGTTACAAGACATGATATACATATTAGGCAACCAGCAACAAAAACATTGCCATTAGAAATAGCAGGCAAATAGATAATTAATTCACAATAATGTCTGCAAAAAATAGACTGGAAAGACGAAAAATGACTATAGCAGAGCAAGAATTGATTGATAATTAAAATGTTGGAAAAAAGCCTCTGGACTTGTAAAATATATATTAAAAAGTCATTGTTGAGAAAAAAAGTACTGGGCAGTTAATGTTTAACACCCTACCTCAGTGTCTGCACTACTTTAGAATTATAGGTTATTGGTTTTACATCATGTAAATAGATTACTGTTCCTGCAACAATAAAAAAAACTTTTGAAAAATACACTTGACTAAGTTGTCATGTAGTGTCACCATGCTTGCTAAACTCAGTATAGTGTAGTTTCAGAGTCACAAAGGCACAGTTCAACACAGCACCAACCTTTATTTACAGCATCATCCACATTACAAGATGCAATGAAATGTTATTTGCACAAAGCCCTAGGTAACATTACTAACTTCTAGATATCGGTAATACATGAAGTTTGTGTTGTGAAGTTTTTACACAAATTTGTATATTACATGTATAAGCTACAATGTACACACTATCAAATCTCAAACAGTATAAGCTATAATTAGTGTAATTATGTATCAATTACACATTTGCCAAGGTAGGTAAGTACGGATAGTCCCATAGCCTTTTCATGCAGTAGGGCTAGTGGGTCTAGAGCATGGTATTGGAATGTGGTCAGCCCATCCCTTTCCTTCCACTGCCTTTTACCTCCCCAACCAAAGTCAGGTACATGTACATATTCTACACCAAATTTGAACGTCAAGAACTGCCAAGGATCAAACCTGTGAACTTTTGATCTTTTGAACCTTAACCAGTCTACGCCGCACATTAAACGTATAATATAATGTAAACAAATACACACATAGATATTTACAATGACTTGTACACAATCAAACTGGTCAAGACTGGTTGAGTGGTGTGTAGGAAGACAGAGTCGGGTCAAAGTTCCATGTGTGAATCCTTTTTGGTGACGGCTCTGTGCTGCATTCCGAGGCGTCCATCGACTGACTGTGGTGCCTCTTAGCCGCCTCGCCTGAATCTGAGGAAGATGTAGCAGGGCTGTTCTCTAGGCTCAGGTCTGGTACTGTGCTACAGGTGGGGTGGGGCGCTATAGGGTGGGGTCCTATAGGGTGTGATACGGTAGGGTGTGGCCCAGTAGGATTAGGTCCTATAGGGTGGGGCCCTGTTGAGCAGGCTCCTTGGTTAACCTGTAAACACATAAGAAAAGTCAGGTCAACGTTATAATTTTTTTTTTTTTGACAACTGACAATGTAGAGTGACGGTGTCAGCTATTTATGCATAAAATTCATATCTATAGAATGATGTATCAACCTGATCCAATATAACTGTTAGTTCTATTTTAAACTTGAACCTTGGTTAGGTGTAACAAGTCGATCGGTAACGTAGCCAGCTGCCACCATGCCGCATGCCTGCAAAGCTGGTGTGTTATGCCGAAGGGTAGTTATACTGGCTATACCAATACAGAGCCTTACATGTACCTGAGTGTTCAATACTGCAAGCCTCTTGATATTATTGAGATAAGTTGCCAGCGAGTTTTTCCCTACGGGCGGTCCGAAGTACAGTCTACCCTCCGGATCCCTCTGAAGCCTCCTGTAGAATGGACCAATCGGTGGGATATACCCCAGGTAGACCTCGTACAAGAGTACGGGACAGTACGGGTCCGACGGGACTGCGTACGCTTTAGTCGTCTTGCTCTTTTTTCCGAGTCGGTTGAAGGATACGAACTTCCCCATGTGGTCACAGCCGACAGAGAACTGTTCTGCAACAAGACTGTGATGTTCCTCGCCACTGCTAACGCCGAACAACTTTGTCGTGTAGTAGAACACCGCGTAGGAGATGCTTAGGTCTTTCTCGAGGCTGAACACCTAAAAGACACATAAAAACAGACATGCTCCAATTGGAGATTCCTTAAATAAACCAACAAACAAACAAACAATCATGAAAGTTCATCTGTGTTCACTTGGTAGTTACATGTTTAAAGTTAAAACTTTTGGTCCAACACAAAAAATTCTCTCACCTAG